CCAGTCACATATAATTTCACCAACCACTCATTAAACCACCCTTTTCTTATGTTAATTCAGTTTGGGGTTTGTGGCTTATAATTACAGTTGCAAGCCTCAGGTCGTTTCTACTGACCTTGAGATGCTCTTTATGCAACAGTACTTCTATTAACTTTTTGTGTGATGGGGAAGGGTAAGGTGGAGATAGGAATAGAGAATGAAATTACCATTTATTGAGCATCTATTATGAATCTGGTGTGGTGCTAAGCATTGTTCTTGTGCTACTCCAGTCAATCATCTTCAATACTGAGGGATAGTGGCCCACTTTAAAGAAAAAAAAGTTTTTATAATTAAGCACAGATTAGTAAGACATACAAGATCACCAAGGAGTTTATATGCAGGTGGGGAGAGAAACAATAAATGAATCAACAAAATAATCCCATAAAAGTGCAGGTGTTGCCCTGGCTGGTTTGACAGTGGTTAGGGCACTGACGCACATGCCAAAGGGTCTTGGTCAGGGGCATGTATCTGGGTTGCAGGCTCAATCCCTGGCACCAGTTGGGCCTCCCATAATTTACTTCACAACTGATGGTATCCTTGGGTGAGGTTAGAAACAAAATCCAGGTGTTAAGAAAAAAAGGGCAATGGAACAGTGGTAGTGAAGGCAGTGGAGGAGCAAAGGGACATTTTATATAGGGTGGAGCATCAGCTGACATCAAGGTTTTCAGACCCATTTTGAGAAGGGAACTAGGGTCTACTTTACTTCAAAGCCTTTGGCTAACTTTTTCCTTAAGGAGGAAAAGGCCCTGGAAGACAGTCTTTCTAGCAGGCATGTCACAAATTACAGGCTATGCAGTCCCTACAGCTGAGGCACAGGGAGGAGGAATTACCGGTAGGGAGGCAGATAAAGACTAATAATTAAACAACTACTCAAACCCAACTCTAATCTTAGTAGAGAATCTGCTGGTGGGAATCTTTAGGCAGTTATGACAAAACTAGATTTTTTAAGAGATGTTCAAACAGTCAGTATTAATTATAACCACACTTAACAATAGGTGAAACAATATGAAATTTAAAGACCGGAGGAAATTAACATTCCCAAGTATGTCAACCTATCTCAAATTTTCTGTATTACTTTAAGGTTATAATAATTAGCCATACCCTGAAAATCTAATTTTACAAAATATATTCCTGTCTCTAACAGGCCCACTCTAACAATTTAATCTTCCAATATTTATCATGTATAAAATGGGGATGTTAGAAATTAAAGTTCATGTTAGACATTTCAGTTTCAAGATATTACATAACGACTCCTTTATCTAAACCACACTTAACTCCAAAAATTGATAGGATGTAGATGCCATAAAATAGTATGCAGTGAAGATTTAATGGAAACTAATTTTTAAAAGCTAAATGAGAAATAAAAGGCAATTCAAGTATATACTTTTATAGAATTTACTTATTTGGCATTGATAAGCAAGTAAAACCCGGTTTCATCTCTTTTACCAGCCCTCTTGATAGTTTTGATGGGAGCTGCCAAGTATGTTCCCATAAGCTCACCAGCACACCTTCATTCCAAGCACTGGGACTTTGCCAAATTGTCTCTGGGACTGGGGTTATCACCTTCCATAGGGCTTATTGCCATTCATTGAACACTCGTCTTTTCTGCTTTGAATAAGCTGTCCCTATAGACCTTTTCACTTAAGAATCATTCAAACCAATGTCAGAGTTGAAAAGGAGCTCAGAAGACAACTCACATAATCTCCTCCTGATTGAACACACACAGAGGTCTGGAGAGATCCAGAGGAGATTGTATAGTGAAATTAGACCAAGGACTAATCCTCCATAATAGGGGGACAAGGAAACTAGGTTTACCAAGGGCTTAATAGGTGCATAATACTTGACATTTACACTGATTCAATTCCAAGGAAGCAGTGGCTCCATTTTATAGATGATGAAACAGATACAGAAGTTAATTTGCCATTTGCCAAGTATGTGACAAGGGCAGGAATGAAACCAGTCCTGTTTAGCAACATCATGCTCTTTCACTGTATCTCAACGCCAAAAACTCTCAGACTTTAGAGCTCCTCAACCAATCTTAAGTCATCCCTCTTCACATCCCTAAAAACTCAATATTAAATTTAAAGTATGTGAGAACTAAGCCATCTATCACATACGGTGTCGGATGGAGAAGCATACTGTTCAGGCTGTTGGGACATTTCATTTGTTTAAATGTTTTTATTAAAAAAAAAATTTAAAGACCTTCATGGCACAACTTCTTCCCAGCACAGTTAATGTTTTAGTTATACCAATTACAATACAATTACAACCAATAAATCAAGGGGGAGAGGGGAAACTTCTGACTTCCAACTTAAAAAAAAAAGGGGGGGGGGGGGGAGAAAGGGAGCCCACTTCAAACAAAGTTTAAAAATACTAAAAAACCTTTCAGAGTAATTGCCAACACAACTGTCTTATATTGGCATTCCATCTCCTGCAATCTGATCAATGCAGACACAGGTAGTGCTGAGAAATAAAGTGTCCCAATACAAGGTATACAGATGAGGTAATTTACAACAAAGTTGTTACTCTGTAAACCCTTGCCCCCCACCCACCCAATTGGATCTTTTTTTTTTTCTCATGCTTTTGCAGTGACTCCTTAATTAACATTTTAAAAAGTTTATTTCTTTTAAAAGGCTCTTGGGTGGCATTTCAGAGTCCTCTGCATTTACCTTCAGTTTCTTGCAAGGTCTGATGCGTGTTAGGAGGTTCAGCTGTCTGCAGCTCCTCACATCAGCCTCTGCTACACCTAGATTCTCTGAGCTACAAGGGTAGAACGTGAAGTCTTGATTTACAACAACCCTCCTCCCCACCTAAAAAGAAAGAATTCATTAGTCATCGTGTCCTGTTCAAATCACAATCCAGTGCAAACGTAATCACAAATTGCATCTCTGGCACATCCGGTGCTTTTAGCTTCTGCACAGATTCAACATGGTAACCCACACAGCATTCTAGGGCATAAAAGGGTCAAGAACAATAAATATCCACTGTAAGTGGCAACAAGAAAGAAAACCACCTGCCACACAGAATGTTCTCCCTATGGTTGAGAAGCATTATAAAAGGAGGCTTTAGCTTTCTCTAAAGTTCATCATTACACTCACTAAAGCCATCACCTTGATAAAGTAAGTTACTAGAGCCAATTTGGGTTACAAAGTTAGATAAGTTCATTAGATTCAACTCCTCAAATAATTACATTTATCTATGACGCCCAGATGAGAAAGGCTTATGAATCTATAAAGGTAGGAGAATAGGGAACTAAGATTTTAGGCCTTAAAATATGTTGGAAGAATTTTCCCCAGTCCCCACAAGCAGCTACTGTAATTAAATTAACAGGAGAAAATACAGAGCTGATGGTTTTGCTATTGTGCTTAAAAAACTAGGCTTCCTCAGTGAAGCACCTGATAAACTTAGGTGGTTGAATTACAGTGGAAAATCCACTTTACATACACACAAAACACACAAAACTGGCGACTTTTCCATCCCCAATCCCTGCACTGCTGAGACACAAAATGAATTTTATGGCAAAGGATCCTTAATCCCCAGAGATGCTTTGGCTTGTGGTGCTTTTTTAAGGCCTCTCTGCCCTGCCCAGTACCATGGGTCAAATGAGGGGTGTATAAAAATGGTGGCCTTAGGAAGCTTCCACGGTACAGGGCTGCAGGCCCTTCAGATGTGAACGTTGAGACACCCACCCAGCGAGACCTTTACACAGGGAACTTAAATCTAACCTCGATAAATAAAACCAAACCTTTATTTACACCAAAGAACTCCAACACTGGATCTTTCACATATGAAGGACAAAGTATTATATATATACACACAGCAAGGGGTGGCAGGGCTGTAACAGAGAGTTTAGGTTTCCCACAATTACAGGTCTACCATTCCAGCTTCACTGGAGACAGTGGCTCTGCTCCTCCCTCTCAGATACAGTTACAAGACTGAGGGGCAGGCCTTCTCACTGAATGGCATGTGAGGAAAGGGGAAGGTAGGAGGGAAAGAAGGTGGAAAACTTAAAATGAAACTGTGGCCACATCTCCCATTAGCTCTTAAAGCGTTGTTAACATGAAACCTATACAATGTTTTTTTTTCTTTTGTAAAAAGCAATAAATTATTCCCAGTAGCTAACTGAATTTAAAATGGCCAAGTCTCCTCCCAGCTATAGAGTATTTTGGGATACGAAAGGAAAGAGGACCAAGGTAAGGAGCCAGAGAGGGAAAGTTATTAAAGTTTGAAACTAAACTTATAAGTGAGCTGGATTTAGGGTCAGGTCAGTAAGACATGATTCAGAGTGAACATAGATTTTCATGACCTGTCAGCACTTTGGGTAGATTTTTCAGCATCTCAATGTAACTATAATTAAGACATATTTCCACTAGATTCACCAGGATAACCCCACTGAAGCACTTTTGGAATAAAGTGATGTAAATGACGAGCAGGACACTGCTTTTAGAGGTTGGGTCCTCCCTCCTTCCTTCCCACCTCCCTTGAAGAAGCTACATTTTTGTAATCTCTGGAAAAGAGCATGAGATACAAGCCCCCGACCCCAAAGTGTAGGATGGTGGTTGAGCAATGGTCGGCATGGGAAGAAATCTCCACCCAAATGCAGCAGCAGGAATTGAGGCTGGTTTATCTTTGTTCTTTAGTGATGAGGAACTGAATTTGGAAGGGGAGAAAAAAATTTGTCCGTGAAATATTCCACTTGCAGGTAATTTTTCAGGGATTCCCCTGAGTTATGAAAAGTTCGAGTTAAAAAAAAAAAAAAAAAAAGAAAAAAGAAAGAAAAAAAAAAGAAAATCAGCCTATTATAATTCTTTTTTTATGACTGAACTACTATAAATCCACAAGCAACGGTTCAGACACGGTGCTCCTTAAGTTATTTCACCCTCCCCACCAGGCGCAAGCTGCATCAAGGAGAGAGCGGACTCCCCCACCTCTGCTCAGGCATCACGAGGCAGAAGAGGCCATTACTGCTGAGCGCCAGCGGCAGCCGGAACAGGCATCCCAAGGGGGTTGGCAGCAGCAATCACTGGTGAGCCCGCCAGAGGTCCGAGGGGTGAAGGGGTTGGCACTGAAGAAATCCCTGAAAGAAAACAGATGAGGGTAAGCGAGAGAGACCGACCATGGAAATCTTAGTCACCAGTTTTCCACAGCTCCTACCTCAAAAGTGACACACACATCAATTCTCTTGGTCTGTTCGATGCTTCTATGTCTCTGCATCTATTTTTGTTCATCAGTTTATGTTGTTCAATATATTCCACGCACACAAAAAATCTCTTTATTACAGGCATATCTTTTGCCAGATTTTTACAAATTAAACTAATTTCAAATTAAATCCTCACAAATTAAAATGGCAAGTTATAATTAATTTAGGAGATAAAGAAATCCATGCTTGGAGAGTTTAAGCAGTTTGACCAAAAGTAAACAGCTAGTCAAGTTGGCAACTATCCTTGGATTCCAACCCAGGCCTATCTAGGGCGGCACTGGGCAATCAAATTTCCTGTTCTATAATCTGTGCTAACCTAGTGACCACTAACCTCAGGTAGCTACTGAGCACTTGAAACTCTTTATCCCTCTCCCTTCCTCTCTGTGAAGTCAATAAAATATATTAAAAAACAAAACAAAAACCCAAAACATTTATTAAATTTGCTTAATTTAAATAGCCACATGTTGCTAGTCACCACCATACTGAACAGCAGAGGGCTAGAGTAAAAACTCATGTGTTTATATCACACTGCCAGCTAAAAATTCAAAATTACTTAAAGGAGCACTTCCCACCTCTAAGCCAAAACAGTATTTGAGAAAGTTCAAAATATATAGTTAATAAATCTCCACTGCCCTGTCACTATGGTACAATTTCTAGGGTATATCCTTCCAGAAATATTTTATGCATATACATGAATACAATTTTATCAGAATATTCATATGGATACCATATATAGAAATGTGATTATATACTTTTGCCCACTCCTGGTCTTGGACATGGCTCTGCATCTTGCTTATTTTATTTTCACATTATCCTGGAGTTGGAGCTAGAAAAGAACACGAAACATTCATTCTTTTCTCTGGCTGCCATAGCATTCCACTGAATGGATGTCCCATAATTCATTTAACAGTTCCCTATTACTGTTAAATATCCTGCTGTTACAAATAAGGCTACCACCTTGGACATGCATCATTTTTTACACAGCCAACAGTCCCAGGGAATAACGTCTAGAAGGCAGCTAGCTCATTATCAGTAATTCTCTGAAGGTGTCTGAGTAAAGGCCCTCACTACAAGTGTACCCACGTGGATCTGGTATAATTCTCACATTATGGGCCTAAAATCTCTTTAGAATAATTGTGTACTCTGTACAAAAACTTGCTCTAAATCGTAGTGATTCAACAGTAAGGAAAAATAATTTCATATATTTACAATTTATTAGATACACTGTAATTGCTTTGGGGGGGGGGGGAATCAAAGAACCATTCTTTTACTAATATACACCCCACGTGCAAACCCCACCTCTTCTCTCCCCAATTTCTTAATCTTGTTTCTGAGGACTATGTCAACTACTGTCACTCTAAACTGTGAAATAAAAGGATCACCCTTTATTTTTCATGGCTTGTTGGGACATTCATGTCCCTCTGAGACATTTTGGGGATTCTGGCCCAGAAGAGCCTGTTGATAGCCTACTCAAAGTAGTGTCACTGAAGTATATCAGATGTCAAAAGCATCCTGAAGGCTAGTGGAGAGAGCTGCACAGGTTAGTATATCAATTATTAATAAGGTAATCATAACAGAGAGAAGAGGAGGTTCACAAGAAATCAGGTCACAATAGGGAGCAAATCAGGCACAAAAACACAAACAAGGAAGAATAATCAACTTCTACCGCTTAAAGAAAAAGAAAAGAAATTCACTGATGAACTGACCTGTCATCATATTGGCGGTGCTGACAGGTGTACTGCCTCCTGGTATGCTAGCTGAGCCCATTCGAGCCTGGTCCTTCACAACAGTGTCTAGAAAAAGACAAATATGTTAAGTTCTGTTATGCTTAACAATTAAACTAATGATCTTAAAGCAGTCAGACTCATCCTTTCAATCTTATATTCCATATAATTCCCAGAAGAACTTAAGGTGGCATCTGCCTTGTCTTCACCATAAATTAGACAATAGAAAATAGAATTATCTTTCCTGTCAAACTAGTAAAGGCAACCTCTAAAACTAAATGGTAGGAAGATGAGTAATTATCCATGATAGATCTAATTTAACACAAAACTGATCCTGTTAGGGTTTAATGAGACAATATAATCTAACCTGACCTAGAAAGTGATATAGTACCAGAATGAAATGATCTTATTGCAGTCCACAACTCAACTCGTTAAGCATGGTGCCAAATAGGCCCAAGTTATAGGTTGTGCAAATTAGTGCTATTACCATAGACTTCAGGCCAGTCTGCTTCAGATATAGGAGACTGGGCAAACACATAATAGTTCACTACAAAACCACTCTAACACTCCAAGAAATAATCCAATGTTGAAGCTAACATCACTGTGAAGATGGAGTGGGTCTAATAGACATTTTCACCCAGGACAGCACCGTTAGCTATAACACAAACCTAAGTCAAGGTGTTCATACAGTTAAGATTTTCTAGCTTCCTTGGCTCTCCAATAAATTATAACCAGAGACAGAACAGATATGAGACTATCCTATCAAATAAAATATGCAAATTAACAATCACTCCATCACAAAGATGGCGGCACCTAGTCCTCTCAGCCCCACCTGAGTCCCCCAGTCCTGCTGGGGGGCAGCTGCTGAGAGCGGGCAGCATGAGTGGCCTGGCAGAATGCTTGCTTTGTCACCACGGCAACAAGGCAAGCATTCTGCCCCAGCCCCACAGAGGGCGTCTGGGGGGCGGGGGACCTGGCTTGCAGTCTCTGCAGCTGAGTGGAGGCTGGGAGAGGAGATGGAGGGACCACATCCCACGGAAGCAGTGCGGTGCCTGGTGGTGCATTGCGTTCCCACCAGCTCCCGCAGAAGTGGTGGGCAGCCAACTGCAGGATATTGCGTGATGGGCTACTACTCTATATATAAAAGCCTAAGCGACCATCTGACCGTTCAATCAGTGCTCTGACCACGAGGGGGCAGACAATCATGCAGGAGCTGCTGAACTGTAGTGACTTGGCAGTTGCGGGTCTAGGGTGATGCACCTGAGGAGGGAGCCTGATTGTTGGGTGTGTCACCAGAGAACTGTCCTTTTGCAATCTGGGACCCCTTAGGGGATGTTGGAAAGTTAGTTTTGGCCCAATCCCCACATGCCAGGCAGAGGGATCCTCCACCTCCAGTGCCTGAATCCGTATACCGGGCCTCTAGTTCATTATAATCCAACCACTCTACACTAGCTAACCCCTGATAAGTGTCACTCACACAGTAAGAAAAGTAGTTTGTTTAGGAACAATCATGTATTAAGTACTATTAGATAAGAATCCTTCCAACAATTCTGTAAGTTGCCATCCCTGTCCTCATTTGAAGAAACCAAGGCTCACTGTGGCTGAATAACTTTGCCACAAGATAAGCAGAGCTGGGATTCCAACTCTCTTCTGGTGGGGCTGTGGATCTACAGTTTTCTTCACAGCATGTATTTCCCCTTGTCTTGTACAGTCTGCTGGGCAGGCCTACCCAGGCTCTGTGGATTGAACAGTTGGACTCACAGAAATAGGGGTGTTCCATGGCTTCTCTTGCGGTGAGCCGTGACTGGTGGTCGTATCGCAGCAGCTTGTCCAGGAAATCCAAAGCCTCAGGGCTGACAAGGTGCTGGTTTTCACTGTGGACAAAGCGTTCCCATCGCTTACGTGAGTGTCTGCAGAGCCAAAAGGGGTAATGAGAAATGAAACAAGGGGTAGAGAAGCCCAACATTTATTTCCCTCCTAAATTTTCCTTAGTGACTAGGAGCCCAGCAACTAGCAAAAAGAAATCAAAACTCAAGAGAGCAGTTTTATAGCACTCTATCACTAGGGAGACAACCAAGCTAACTGAAGAGACTGAAAACAGCCGTGTTGCAGAGGAGGGTGCTCACAATTTTACAAACCATAATTCATGTTTCTTTACAATACTGAATACTTCTGCACAGCAAGGGGGTCAGATGGCTAGTCTAACCAGGCCTCTTTCCCATCCCCTCACACATTCCTGGCATCTCTGCCACTTGGCCAGCAAAGCCTTTGCATCAGGAAAGTCCACCTCCTGGAAGTGGTGACTGAATTAGTATTGCACCTAGCCACTATTTTCAGAGTCTGTTCATTGTCTGTCTGCACATCGGTTTTGAAACATATATTTCCTATGACTATTTATTTCTCTTAAAGGGTTTTGTCATTTAGAGAAGCCAAGTCAACTGCAAACTATTAGAATCTATATTTCATTAATTTTACAGGAATCCTCTGACAATAATCTCCACACCATCTTTTAAGTGAATTTGGGAAAATGGCATTCAATCCAGTGATTTTATCACAGGATGACCCACGCAGCATCCTGCAGTACAGGACTAGTGATGCTTCAGCAAGGCTGGCAAAGAGGATGTAACTATTTTTTAAAATAGTCTTAAAGAAAAGAAATATATTTTATTGGTTTTTAGAGAGAGGAAGTGAGAGGGAGAGAAACATCAATGTGAGAACAAAACATTGATCAGCTGCCTCTTGCACTCCTCCCGAGAATCAAGCCTGCAATCTGGTATGTGCCCTGACCAGTAATCAAACTGGCAACCTTTCAGTGCACAGGATGACATCAAACCAACTGAGCTACACTGGCCAGGGTCATAACTATTTTTTGAGGATCCAAAGTGTCAATTTACAGTATGTCTTAAAGTGATTAATGCACAAATGCATAGATTTTATTTTGACTCACCTGCCCAAAATATCATTGAAACGTGGATCTAATTCAATGTTGTATTTGTCAATATAGTCATATAAATCTTCTGTCCCCAGAACCTTGGCTATCCTCACCAACTAGGATTGAAGAAAAACAAAAACCCACACAACAATCATGTTACAAAATTATATCAATAAACAGCCGTGACTGGATTAACAGCAAAGGGATTATAGGCGCTATAGGTATGAATATACACTCAAATTTACTTCAGATTTCTATGTACCGTAGGAATAATTTCCACACAAAATTCTCTAAATCAGAACTCAACGTGATGGTGTAAAAAAGGAAAAAACAAACAATGATATGACCTGGTTCCTTCCCCTTGAAATGTCTCCCAGATGAAGTCTTATGTTTTTACCCTCACAATCCAGTTAAGGTGTCACTTCTTTTGGGAAACTCCCTTTGTACACTCAGACCACTCACTCCCACAACTACTACCTTTTGTACCTTGTCTACGTTCTATTCTGACATTTACAACTGTAACTTATTTCCTTGTATATTTGATTCCCGTACTAAACTATGAACTGTTTGAGAGGCTGGACTAATCTTTTTTCTTAGTACTTTTAAAAATGCCCCCTGGTTTTGGATCGAGCCCCAAATCCAGCATGTGCCCTGACCGGAAATTGAACCAGTGACTTCTCAGTGCCTGGATGGACGCTCAACCACTCAGCCACACAGGCCAGGGCTAGACTAAACTAAAAAAAAAAAAAAAAGTCTTCTCCAACCCTGCATGGTGCTTCATAAAGTCTTGCTGATTTTAATTGATCGTCAAGAGGAAGTGGAACTAGTATAAAAAACATCATCTATATTTCTACTGACATACACCAACTCAATCTATATAAAGAGACAAAAGGATCATAGAAATACCATATATAAACCAACACGTTGAAAAAATATTCCCAATTTTAGTGAAAATTCACATTAAAGAATTCTAAGGTAATGTCTTATTTTACATGTGTAATTTACAATGAAACAAGCAAACAAATCAAAAGACTAGGGGAAAAACTCAGTGATTTCAAAAGGCTATACGGTAGCTCTCAAAACACCAATAAAAGGATCAATGTTGGGCTAACTGAATAAGCCATGAATTGAAAATTATTCTAGGGTCTCAATCTAAGTGATTGGGATGGGCATCTATATTTTAGCAAAATCCACCACAGTTTCTACTAAGTAGCCAGATCTCATCATTATCTAGGTTAGCCCAGTAAGTTGCCTATTGAGAACATGTATCACCTGATCATAATTGTCATGTCCATGAAAAAATGGCTCCTTCCGAAAAATCATACTTGCCAGCATACAGCCCAAGCTCCACATATCCAAACTATAATCATACATCTGCATTGAAGTTAAAAAAAAAAAAGTCAGTTATAAATGAAATGACAATAAATTATCTTGTACTTTCCAAATAAAAAATTACTACTTAAAAAGAAAATCACTCCACTAAAATGTCTAAACACCAATAACATCTTCATATATTTTTCAGTTTTTTCTTCTATGCATTTCCACCATTTTAAAACAATCTATATACTATTTTGAATTACCTTTTTCACTCACATAAAAATATCTCAAGTTGTTAGCCTCTGGAAACCTTTTAATGTGTAACATTATTTTACTGAACAAATATTTCAGAATTTAATCTTTAATTTCCCTATAATAGGATAGTGGTTTTGTTTAATAATACAATAATTATAAATAATATCATAAAGAGTATTTTGGGCCCTGGTCAGGTTGCTCAGTTGGTTATAGCATTATCCTGATACGCCAAGGTTGTGGATTCAATCCCCAGTCAGGGCACATTTAAGAATCAATCAATGAGTGCATAAATAAGTTGAACAAAAATCACTATTTCTCTCTCAAAAAAGCAGAAATTTTTTAAAAGAAAGAATATTTTTATGCATAAAATGTTTGAGCTTAGGGTTATATCCTCAAGATCCCAGAAAAATAATTTCTAGGTCAGTCTGAACTTTTTAAGATATCTGATAACATCTGGGAGGAATGGGTATGAAAGATATACCTAAGGATTTTATTTCTGTGAGAAGAGGGCTTTTTTAGTAAAAGGAAGTTACTAGAGGCCTAGTGCACGAATTTGTACTCAGATGGGGTCTGGCTGGGTAAGGGGAGAGGCCGCAGGTGGTTGGCCAGCCAGCCCCGCCCCAATCAGGCTAGTTGGCCAGCCGCAGGGGGCATCATAGCTATCAGTGGTTCCAGTCATTCTGGCGTTCCAATTGCTGGCTTTTTATATATATAGATACAATTTATGAAAATCTTGAGAGCATAATTTAGTTTAGTCCTTAGGTTGATAAAACCTAAGCTCTGTAGTTTCTAAATAGAAAAGGTTATCTTTGATGTACTTTTTCTTCAGTTAGGATCAAATGCAAATCTATTCATATTCTACTGACATTATAATAATAAAAACATAAGTTACAGTAGATGAATTGAGGTAATTCATATTTTAAATTTATATAAAAGGGTTAGCCATGCACATGTAGAACTAACCTACTCAAAATGAGATTTTTTTGCAAATTATGTACAAAATAAGCATAGAACAGAAACTTTTTTGTTTGTTAACCCTCACTTGAGGATATTTTTTCCATTTAGAGAGAGCAGAAGGAGGGGGTGAAAAAAAAGAGACACACACACACACACACACACACACACTGTTTAGTTGCTTACTGCACATGCCTTGACCTGGGCTAAGGATTAAACCTGCAACTCCCTTTGGTTTGGGGCTGACACTCTAATCACTGAGCAACACTGGCCAGAGATAGAGGACAAAAATTTTATTTGCCTTTCTCTTCTCACCTGATAGTCTACAAGTAGCTCAGGACCTTTGAAGTATCGAGAAGCAACTCGGACATTATATTCTTGGCCAGGATGGTAAAACTCAGCTAAACCCCAGTCTATTAGCCGTAGCTGAAAGAAAAAAAGAGAATAAATCATAAGCAATTTTATCTTCCAAGCTACACCATACATTGTCTTTAGGGTACTCTTTTAAAAACTAGAGGACTGGTGCAAGACATCCATGCACAGGTGCAGTCCCTAGGCCTGACTGGATATCGAAGCACGAGTGTCTGGCAGAAGGGCAGGTCCCATCTGACTTTTGGGTCCTGGGCAGCACCTGGGTTGCCAGGCACCTGAGTGCGAGAGCCCTGGCGTCTCAGAGGAGGGTAGCAAGGGGAGTTCAAGCAAGCTTAGCGAACACCCCACATTCTCACCGCATCTCCATCTCCGTCAACCCTGCCCTCAGGTAGCCAGTGAGAGGGCACAGCCCTCCACATCCAGGTTCCTTAAGACATTTGTCATCGCCACCCATCCCAAAGGAGGGAGTAGGCATTCAGCCCCCCTGGAAAAGGGGACGCATCCCCCACCACACACCCCTGGTTCCCCATCCCAGGCCAGGGCCTGTGGGCCTGGGGCAGCTCCTTTTGTTGAGCATCTGCTCCCTGGTGGTCAGTGCACATCACTGTGACCTGTTGTTCCATCACAACAGTCAGATAGGCTTTTATATATATAGACTAGTGACCCGGTGCACAAAATTCGTGCACATTAAAAGGGATTAGAGGAAATATTTTAATATTGCTATTTGTCCTTTCGCTATAACGGAAGTGTAAGAAATGAAAGAAAATTAGTAAAATGAATATGAAAATCTTCCTCCTGTCAAGAGTTGGGTGCACCATGGGACCCAGAGTTAAGTCCTGCCCACCCATGTGCACTTCAAAATCGTGTGAGACTCCTGCATGCTCCCAGACTGGGGTCAGGAATGGAACCTGTAACCCAGATATGTGTCCTTGACCAGAAATTGAACCTGTGACGCGTCAGTGCAGGGGCTGACACTCTATCGACTGGTCCACATTGGCCAGGGAGTCCTTGATAGTATTAGTAGAAATTTGAGTAATGGTTTAAATATTCTGATTAATTTATTCGTTCACCAAATATGTGTCAAGTGCCTAATAGGTACCAGGACATGTAATAGATGCTAGGGATAAAGTGTTAAAGATGGGCTGTTCACTCTATCAGGCAGGAAAAGATTTATTAGTCTATCACATTACCTTTCTGTGCTCATGATCAATCATGACATTATGGGGCTTCACATCTCTGTGCATAATTCCCATGCTATGACAATAATCCAGGGCCTGTAAGAGAAATAGGGGGGGGGAAGGTTAGCTTGCATAAGAGTGATTTTTCTAGTTAAAACTTTTTACTTTTTCCTCTATAGTTTTCTTTCTAGTCTCACAATATCCCTGGGAGTCAGGGTTAGGACAATCACTCTGACAGCTATTTTGCAGACTTGCTCAAGATCCTAAAGTCAAACTCATGGCCTCTGAACTTCAAATTTGGTTCTTACACAGTTGTTATGACATCCTTTCTGTTCAAAAAGACCAAAGTGACACCAATTGCATCACTTCCAATTTCTATCCCTTATATAAAGCTTGCTTTATTTTCATAAGCATAGGCCTCTCAAAAGAAGAAAACTGGTCTATACTACAAAGTGTTCTTCAAAGAACAATAATTCTTTATCAGCTAAGTGTTCACAGTAGAGGTCCATGGCCCATATATTGCCTGATGCCTGTTTTTGTGAATGTTTATTTTATTGGAACACAGCCACACATATTTGCGTGTTATCTGTAGCTGCTTTCATCATACAACATAGCTAAGTAGCTTGAGAAAGACCCTATGGACCACAAAGTCAACATTTTTACTGTTTATTCCTATAAAGATGTTTGCCAACTCCTGATTTATGACATCAAATCCAATTTGAAAACCATGTCCAAACTCAAACTAAGGTGAACTGAGTGGTACAATCTTTGGGATTTGCTAATCCTAGCTTTTTGATCAGCTGATGTCATTGGCCAAATTCTTGTCCTTTTAAAAGGGGAACTTGAGTTCCTATGGTTTCTAGAACTAGGCAAACAGATCCTTAACTTTATGAAGTCCTGCTTGCGTGAGCCAATGGGAAGATCAAATATCTCTACTGGCATAGTCTCTTCACGGTACTTCTAAGGTTCGAATACAGGCTTTACATCAACCCTCATTTAATAAGAAACTTTAGCTAACTCTTAGCAATTTTCTCATATATAAAGTTGATCTTGTGACTACTAGGAGGAAGATAATTAGGTGATCTCACTTTAGAAGTCAAAGTCCACTCTAAATCATCAATCTCTAAGCAGTGATTTATATTATTTTAGGACTTTGACCCTTTGGCAGCTGAGGAAGTTTCTTGTTTTACTTGTTCAACTTTAAGTGAAATAAAGTATACCAGAAGCCAACACATCTGGATATATTTACAAGTTTGAACAATTTAACTGTTAACTTTCATAGGAGCAAGATGGAGATTACAAACATTTATGGGGCCCCAGCTCTCTTCTAAATACCCTTTCCAAATCATTCTAAATTATATTCATACTAGACATTATTCCATACCCTTACATTAACAGAAGAGCTCTGATGCTATAAACTTATTAAAAACTTATATGAAAAGGCCCCTTCTTTCAACATATTTTAAAAAGTTAATTCACTAACTTTTCTATAGTCATTTGAGTTATATAACAAAGGTAAGATCAATCTAAAGGTATTTAGTATTCAAAGTTCCCTTACCTTCAGAATCTCATACATGTAAAACCGAATATCATAGTCTGTTAACGTCTGGTATAATTGCTGTTAAAGACAAATGCAACATTTGAGCCATGAAATACTGCTGACGAAAGGCAATTTCTCATCATTATTTGTAGTAATTCAAACCAAGACTTGGCTCATTTGTCATCATCCCAAGATCTATATTACACCAGTTTCTAATCTTCAACGTAACATTCCCTTTAAAGAGATACATTGAGCCGGGACCAGTTTGGCTCAGTGGATAGAGCGTCGGCCTGTGGACTGAAGGTCCCCGGTTCGATTCCGGGCAAGGGCATATACCTTTGTTGCGGGCATATCCCCAGTAGATGGTGTGCAAGAGGCAGCTTATCGATGATTCTCTCTCATCGATGTTTCTAACTCTCTATCCCTCTCTCTTCCTCTCTGTGAAAAATCAATAAAATATATATAAAGAGACATTGATTCTTTATATATGCAAAAGTCAAGAATTACTTAACTTGTATTTCTGAAGCTAAAATCCACTGTTGGGAATATACCATTTATCTAAGCAATATGCATTGATATACATTTGCAATCAAGTTTGCTTTTCATTTACTTCTAGACTTTCTCATAAAAGGCATTTTGGCAAATACACAGCCTCCTTAGTAGAAAACTACCTCATCTGCAGATCACCAGAGAGTGTGCAGATGGCTCACTGCCATATCTGTCAAGCCAATTTAACAGAATTATTCCTCTCCCAATTTGAAATAAACTTTGAACAACTGTTATATATTCTTTCCAGCTTCCAAAGAGTTATGGTCTTGAAAAAAACAAAAAACACATGCATGCCATTAAATTGTAGTGATGTCATCTGACGTTTTCTTTGAAGTTATTGCTCTGATTCTAAAACAGTTTTTTTTTTTCTTATTTCAGCAAAAGAATTCATCCATTAATTGATACCTAAAATTCTTCATACTGAATTGGAAAGGAAAGAATTGTTTAATGGAAAGTCAAATACCCTTAGAACTTGAATTGTTTAAGTTGCATACTGAATTGTTTAAAGGAAAGTCAAATACCCTTACAACTTGAAACCCAAGAGTGTCCATATTTTTCTTTTGTGCTAGAATTGAGAATTGTTTGAAGTAGGCCGCTGGATGGGCAGAAAGTCAGAGATCAGTTGTAGAGGTGTGTTGTAGCAGAATTTACACCACCCTAACCCAGAGGAATCCTAAGGTATAAGAAGACTTTGCTTTTCATACACAATATATTCCTCCTTGAACACTGCCATTTTAAAGTAAAATGCCCACGGACAGATCTTGACTGAACATGTGTTATTGCTTTCATTACATTTGACATCAGGGGAAACTGTTAAGTGAATGGTAAAGGTGGTGAGAAGTAAATGTATTTGGCTATTAAAGAAAGCACACAACAAATAAAAGTGCAAACTACCAAGATGTGGAAAGTGGCAGTTTGTACAGCAGTATTTCTATCTTATAATTTAACACTGTGAAGATGAAAAGCTCTTTTAAGCAAGTTGGAAAGAAGTTCTTCTTATACTAATATCCCTAAAAGGCTTTCTAAGTGGTCTGAAAACCCAACAGCTTGAAATGATTGATTATATATTATACCTTGAAGTCTGTGTTGTTTACATGTTCAAAAACCAAGGCGGGAGTTCGTGACTAGGGAAAAGAAACAGAAAACACACATTAGCAAAAGCCCTAGCAGCTTTAATGAGCACAATGTTTGCGGATGCTACGTGGTGAATTTGGCAGTCCTCGCCTCAGTAACAGGAATCCCTCTATTGCTATAAGCCCTCCCACTCTGATCACCACACTTAGGTCATTTTTGGGATGGATTTCAAACAGAAGACATGGAGCTGAAGTCTCACCAGGCTCTAGGCAGCCCGACAATGCGCCCATCGCCCATCGGCATCGGACCTGAGTTTGCAAAATGGATTAACACATTTCAGTTTCCAGTGCTATCAGTCTCTTATCCTAGAAGAATAAGAAATAGTCTGTGGGTGGAGGTCTCTTTAAAAGAAAGACCCAAACTAGTTAAATGCTATAACTGATTAAGCACTTTTAAAGCAGGACTTAACAGTAGAGGGGGCAACAGAGAGAGGCCAGCTGTGCTCTGAGTCAAACACCACCTCAGCCCTGGTGGGCCTTGCCAGCACACACTATACTTACCACGGGGTCTTTTACAATGTCTGCCAGTGTGATGATGTTGGGACCGCCTCGCAAATTCTCCAAAATCTTTATTTCACGCTTAATTTTCTTCTTCTTTACTGGCTGAAAGAGTAAAAGTACAAACATCAGTGAAATAACGTATTTCAGGATATTTCAACACATAATGTGATACATACATAATTATGAGCTCCTTGAAAGAAGGAAATGTGTCAGATTCATCTCTGAATCCTCCCCCTAGCCCTAAGCCAAGCACTCTGTAGGTTACTTAGCAAATGTTGAAAAAGATTTTCATTCCAAAGATTAGACCTCTGCAGAATTAGCATTTAATTCCAATCATCAGTCTTAAAATGTTAACTTTTTACAACTATACAAACTAGGATTATAAATGGTAATACTAATATTATAAATGGTAATCTTGAAAAATCTTTTTACAAATGAGAAGGAAACAGATTTTTTCTATTCCTTCCTGTAAGTCTATAAATATCACCCAACAGAGGTTAGGTGAACAGGACCAACATCAAGGACAGCCAAACTATCTTTGTGCAGCATAAACTTGTGGGTTAAATGTGGGCCTTGGAGTAAAAAAATCCCTAATGTGAATCCTACTTTCATGACCTGCTGGCGGTATGCCTATGGGTAAGTTACATGACCTCTCTAAGCCTTCATTTGGGAAAAATGATCAACAAGAGTACTTATAAGATTGTTATAAGAATCAACGAAAATATATGAGATCTCTGAATATTACTGGGACACAGTACCTAGCTAGCTTTATGACCAGTATTTCTATAAATGAACTCATCTCTATTCTAAAAAGACCACTCTGCAGAGTCCCTTAAAATACTTCCATATTCCTTTGTCCTCACTCATCATTTCCACATCTGGTCTGCAACAAAATGTTCTTCATTTTTCTGAGGAGGGCTTTGGTCCAACTGTACCATCTTCACAAAGCCTTCCTCTAAATAGTCTGAAACAGTGCTGGTCCAAAAGAAATATAATGCAAGCCACATATGTATTCTCAATGTTCTAATGCCCATGTTAAAAAAAGATAAACAGCCCAGCCAATGTAGCTCAGCGGTTGAGCACTGACCCAGGAACCAAGAAGCCACCGGTTTGATTCCAGGTCAGAGCACATGTCCAGGTTACGGGCTCAACTCCCTGTGTATGTGTATGGAGGTGAGGTGTGCAGGATTGATGACGTTTCTCTCTCATCAATGTTTCTATCCCTCTCCCTTCCTCTCTCTCTCTAAAAAGCAATGAAAAAATTTAAAAAATAGACAAAATTAATTTTAATAAAACATGTTATTTAACAAAACATAGAGTCAAAAAAAATTTTTAATATGTAAATACAAAAATTACTAATGGGCAGTATAAATATATTTATTTTACTAAGACTTTGAGATCTAGTATATTTTATCCTTATAGCATATTTCAGTTCGGACCAGCCATACTTAAAATGCTCAATAAACACATGTGACCTGGGCCTGCTGTACTGGACCTGCAGCTCTTTCCCAGGGTGTCAGTCACCTCGGATTACTGACATACTGCATACAATTCTCAGAAATTATTTTAAGCATATATAATGTCTTCATTAACAAGATCAGTGGCTATTAAACTTTAATGATCCATTACCTGAATTTTTTTAATACACTTTTCCAGGATCCACCTACATATGCTCAATCAGAATCTTTTACAGTGTTGTTTTTTTAAAAAATGGAGCCACCATTTAAAAACCAGGAGAATTCATATACATATATAAATCTTTATAGTTTCTTTCTGCAAAGGAGTATCAAGCAATGCTGGTCTTGCACTACTACAGCACCCATCACTCACCTCCTCTAATCATGGGCATTTACATTAGACTAGCTGCATGTCATCTATCCGACCTCTTAAGGCCTGCATTTGTGACTCCTCATCCTTACACTTAGAGGTAACAATTTATTGAAAACAAAAGCATGAAATATAATTAAAAACAGAGGAAATTAAATCAGTATTAGGCTTAAAGAGAGGACTGAACCTTTACTCCATTCCTCTGCCACAATATAGCTGTATGACTAGAGCCAATCACTTCTCTTGCTTTAGTTTCCTGATCTGTCAAATGAAGATAATCTCTATTGATTTCAGATGACAAAATAAAGGTGTTAAAGTACTCCAAACGCCCTTTCAAATGCTACTTTAAAAAAGGCATCACTATTACTTAAAACAAATCTAACTCCCAAAAACCTCTGAAATTACAATCTCTCTCTTTTTTTTACTCACCTTGAGAATTTTAACAACAACTTTTTCATTATTTGTGATGTTGATGGCTTCAAATACTTCACTATATTTACCCCGGCCTAATTTTCGAACAAGCTGGTAGTCATCTTGATTTCTGTAAAAAAAAAAAGAGTAAAAATCACATTGATTTAAAAAGTTCAACTTACCAAGCACTAATTCAATTTATAAAATTTATTACCAGTAAAAGAAATATGAGGTATCCTATATAATAATCCTATATGATAGTTAATACGCTAATTGGACCGGATGGTGGAATGACCTTTGGGAATGGCCAGTTTTGGGGGTGGGGTGAGTAGGGGACTCCCAAGGAGACAGCTGGGACTGCTGTGAGGTCTGAGCCCTTTGTACAAATTTCGTGCATCGGGCCTCTAATTTCAAAATCAGTTTACTTATTTTAATTGGGCCAATTAAAAAGGGGCGCATTCCAAATCCTTTCAATAAAATTATTCTTTAAAAAAAAAAAAAAAAAAATATATATATATATTATTGATCTTTCACAGAGAGGAAGGAAAAGGGATAGAGAGCTAGAAACACTGATGAGAGAGAAACATCGACCAGCTGCCTCCTGCACACCCTCTACTGGGGATGTGCCCGAAACCAAGGTACATGCCCTTGACCGGAATCGAACCTGGGACCTTTCAGTCCACAGACCGATGCTCTATCCATTAAGCCAAACCGGTTTCGCTCAATTATTCTTTCAAATCTGAAATGGTTTACATCTATATTGGCATACGACACATAGATGGCTTGTATTAGGATTCATTATACATGCTTGACCTACAACAACAAGCTTTCCCTTGGAGAATAATTTTTTATATATTCCTGTCTCCTAGTGCCTGGCCCACTGTTGGCACTTAGCAGGAAATAAATACACATTACAAGAATATGTCAATTCAGCCACATTTTGGGAGCAGCCTATTTTGAATAGGCTTCTTTGTAGGTATATAACCTTGACTTCCCACTTGTTCTCCTAGGCAAGCCCTGATAGTCCACATAAAGGAGTTTTACAAACTATATTATAGATCATGAACCATAGTTAGGGAGTCTCTTCCTTTATTTTACCCATATTTATTTCATGATCACTAAAAATATCATAGATAAAACAACAAAAACGCTAACATTTTCTCTCTGCTTCTGTTTATAATTTAGAACACTTTGCACTAAAGAATGGCATAGTCCTTTTAGTAACATCTTAATTCTATTTATTCCTGCTGGAGACACTAAGAATCTAACATGTAATAAATCAGCCACTAATTTTCCTTAAGCAACTAAAAAGAAAGTGAATAAACAGAAAAGGCAAAAGGTAGTAAGAACAATGAGGAATGTAATAATCATGGCAGGTGGAGGGAAAGGGTGCTCTTAGTTCTGGTAGAGATCCCCTCCTGTGGGAAAGTAGCCTATACAATAAAAAGTTAATATGTAAATTAACCAAACGGTGGAACAACCAAACATCTGGTCGCTATGATGTGTGCTGACCACCAGGGGAGCATGCGCAGAACATGGTAGGTGTGGGCAGCAGGTGGCAGAGCGTGGAACATGGTGGGCCTTAGCCATGGTGGGATGGTGGAGCAGGTGAGTGGGGGCACCAGACCAAGGTGGGGTGCCAGTCACTGTCATTGGGGCAAGCCTCTGGTGGGTCCTAAAAATTCTTTGCTCCCAGAGCTTGCACCTGGTGCTGGAGCTGCTGCTCGCACCTGATGCTGGGGCCTGGCACTGGCCCCAATTGCTCGGCGCAGTCAGCTGGTATGAGCGGTGGCTGCCAGCTCTGACTGCCCCTGAAGGCTTCTCCACCTACCCCTGCTCATGAGGGGCGATCAGGGCAGCTGCTTGATCCGCCCCTGGGCCTACTGCAGTCTCGCGAGCCACAGTTCCTTTCAAGGTGCACGAATTCGTGCACTGGGCCCTTAATAGGAAATAAAAGCAAGCATGCGAATAGGACCGTGCCAAAAACTCAATAGTGCTATTTTAGCAGAACTAAATGCAAAGCACTAAATTTGAACAGAGTAGTTGAGTTTCTGTAAAATGGAGAGGCATCCCTAGAACCCAAAGCCTGATATAAGGAGAATTGTTACATTATCAATAACTAGAGGCCTGATGTATGAAAATTCATGCAAGAGTAGGCCTTCCTTTGCCCAGTTGCTGGCACTGGCTTCCCTCTGGCACCTAGGACCCAGGTTTCCCTCTTCCAGCCACAGGCAGGCACCGGGGACCCAGGTTGGCTTTTCTCCAGTCCCGGCTTTATCAGGAAGGACATCCAGTCTAATTAGCATATTACTCTTTTATTATTATAGATTATAACATTTACTGGTATTGTACCACTGGTTCTTGACAGTATATCTTAAAAGTACACTATATCTCCTTGTGCAGAGGCAATGACTTAACTGTTAAGATTCACAACCCAATCATGATTCAATATGCTCACAATTTCTGGAGTCTATATTTATCCACATGTGGATAGGTATAAAATATAGCATATAGAAGCTGTAGCTTTATGAGTTTTCAAAGTTTTCTTTTGCATTTGAATGTCAAAAAGCTCACCACAAAAGTATGACCTGATGAATTAAATACATACCATGTTGGGACAAAAAATGCAAACATCCCAATGAGATTGCACAGAGAATTAGGAGAGCAAATACTGCTGTTCCAGCAGAGTGCAACTGTTCAAGGTGGAATTTGGGCTGAATTCCATGTTACACATGTCTAGTCTTATGATAAGGGCAAGTGTTTAAGGGTTTAATTTTGCTTCTCATTAGAAAGAGGACACCTTTCTGGAGAACTGTTTCATTCTTCAGACTTATCATGGGACAACATTCTCTGATCTCAAAAACACTTTATGTAAGAGTTTATAGTGTTTTCAAAATATCTTAAGTTTTAATTCTCATCTAATCATAAAGCCCTTAGCTAAGGCAAGTTGATAGGTAACTCTTCATCAGCTTTGTATACAGAATATATAAATCAAAGAATAAGACTGAAATAATTCTTCAATGATAAGCTCATCAAAACTGTTAATTTGTCAAAGCAATATCTCAGTTCTTCATTGCAGAAGAAAACACAAATCAGCCTTCAATCTTGAGGTTTACAAATCTCAGTCAGAGAGGTTGTCTGACATAAATTACTCTACCAATTCATAAGCCAGCCCTTTGGGTGAATACAGTGAAGTAAAAGGAAACAATTACCCCCATTCCACCACATGTGACTCGTAATCCCAGTACTCTCGAGGTCTGTGTGTATTAACATCTGTGTAAACTCTGGCCCTGCTTGGCACGGGTCCCGACATATCAGACAGGTTGGTGAACAAAGCTGAACTTGATGTTTGGAGAGCTGGCAGTCACTGTGTTCAGAGGCAGCTGTGAGGTGGGGCAAGACTGTTTCAGAACTGTTTTCTTCAAACTGTAGAAACAAAATGCACAAGGGCCAAGGAATTACTTTTTAAAAGCATACAGGAATAAAAATTACCTTACAACAATGGCCTTATAGTTCTGGCTCTCCTACCTGTTAAACCAGTGAACGTATCCCAACTGTGTCACAGTGTTTCCCTTAACACAGAACAAAACCCCCTCCAAAAAAACAACCTGTATCAGCCGTAATCCTATTCTGCGAAGTAGTTTATTATCTCAGCTGAAGTTTGGATAGCCTAGAAGGGAAACATGGAATTGAGGACAGACCCATCAGCATCACTACCATTTATACATTCTATAGAAAATGTTGGCAAGAACAGTACTTTCAGCAGCTTTATACAGCTCAAGTAGGGATGCTAAAAGGCTCTGGAGTGGTGACAAAGCCAATATAAATCGCTAGTCTGACTCTAATATTCGATGAAACAAAGAAGGAAATAGACTGTTCTCACACATCAAAGTTCAATGCCATTTTATATTAATCCAAATCATTTGGTGAATCTTATGTAATAATCAATATATCCTTGGTCACCATTTGAAATATATACTTTATTTCATTAAATTTAAAAATAAAATCAGTAATATTTCATTTACTTAATACAGGTGCAAGCTTAATAAAAACTGATAGAAAACATTAACATATATTGGATGAACTAATGATAGAAAAATCTGTGAAATTTTAGAAATACAAATTGGTAAACTAAGTCCCCTTTATGATGTCTTCTCTGATTTATCTGAGATTCTTGTATCATGTTGATTCCCGTTACTCTGCATTTAATTAAAAATGCATTTAGCCCTAACCAGTTTGGCTCAGTGGATAGTGTCGGCCTACGGACTCAAGGGTGCCAGGTTCAATTCCGATCAAAGGCATGTACCTTGGTTGCGGGCACATCCCCAGTGAGGGGTGTGCAGGAGGCAGCTGATCGATGTTTCTCTCTCATTGATGTTTCTAGCTCTCTATCCCTCTCTCTAAAAAAATCAATAAAATATATATTTTTAAAAAGGTTAAAATAAAATTTGTATAAGAAAACCGTGGCCCAGAAAGAGGAAAATTGACCTATAACCCCATAGCTACTTAATAGCTGAGTGAGGACCAGAAACCAAACTTTAGATTCTTATGACAGTGATTTCTCTGCCATTAATCATATAAACTAATTAGATAACAATAGCTAACTCTGCAAGCATTCACTATGTGCTTTATGTGGATTTCATTTAATCCTCACCACACAAATGGTGAGAAAGTTATCACCCCCATTTTACAGATGAGGAAATTGAAGTAAAGTAAGGTTAAGTGACTTGCCAAAGGACACAGCTGGAGGAACTGACATTTAACCAGACTGTAAAATAGGGATCACTGTAATTACATCATAGGTTTGTGGTGAGGATTCAATAAGTTAATGAATGCCAACTGTTTACAATTGTGCCTATTTGAGAGCTCGAAGAGACCCTTTTATGGCAACTATGATTTTCCAATGTTGTATTCTAAGCTGGAGCTTAGCGAGCATACACAAAGAAGATAAACCAGAAACGATGTCTCCTTGTGCACATGGTTTAATGGCTTACAGCTTTCAGAGGATGAGCAAGGGACTGGGATGGGGATTAATGCTGTACTGGAAAATGTGACAAACAACCAGCGATATTCTGGAGTCTCATGAATATAAATTTAAATGGCCAGGAAAAAACAAAATGTTCAGATAATTATTAAAAAGTGAACCAAACAGTTTAAAAAATTTCCAAGTATTTATTTCTTTGGTTTTATAAAACAACCAGATTATAGTAATCTATCTTTACCTAATATTAAGTGTAAAAACCAATCCTCCATACTAGGAAAAACAAAACAAAACAGAAAGCCGACACTTTTATTGTAACTTTTGTTCTTCCCAAGAAACACGGTCCTTTGTGCTGTGGGAGTGCTGGCTTTTTTGTGTGGTTAGACGGCTGCATGGATGACAGTGAGACACTAGGAAAATGGGTAAAGATGTGAATGTGTGCACACCTGCAAACAGCTAAAACAGTATAGACAATAGCTGAAACCAACAGAAATAATGTCCCCAGGTACTATGACTTTTAATAAAATTATACTAAACTATTAAATTCGTAGCATCTTCTCTGATAAAAACAATCTTTCTCTTCAGTCTCCATATTCCTTTATAAGCAAGCCTCTGTGGATCACAAAGCCTCAACTTCTGCTCTCAGCTTAAGAAGTTCGTAAAATCAACACAAATTTAGTAACAGGGATTAGATGCAATAGCGTGATGAAACAGTGGAGTCCTGGTTTCAAACCCCTAATTGGTTACTGGGCTCCTTCCAGCGTTGGCTCATCACTTACAAAACTTGCCTAACTGCACTTGCTGACTGAAGAGAAGATATAATGAGATAGCTCCCAGAAAGGGCTCAGGAACACAAACACATGTAAATGATTATTAAATTATTACTATGCCATAGCTCCTCAGTGAACACTAATAAGAAACCTATCTTTAAATATTCCCCAACTCCCATTTATTAGCCTATGTATCACAATCACCCAGTCCTCTGCTGCTCTCTTAAAGCCTTGGCATTCTCTGTGATGAGCAGAGCAAGGCTATTCACTAAGGTGCCGAAAATGGTTTGGCTCAGTGGTAGAGGGTCGGTCTGCGGACTAAAAGGTCCCGGGTTCCATTCCGGTCAGGGGCATGTACGTTGGTTGCGGGCACATCCCCGGTAGGGAGTGTGCAAGAGGCAGCTGGTTGGTGTTTCTCTCTCATCGATGTTTCTAGCTCTCTATCTCTCCCCTTCCTCTCTGTAAAAAATCAATAAAAATATATTAAAAAAAAAAAAAAAGAAGACTATTCACTAAGGAAACTTGTTTGACTTGCAGCTTTGAGCCTCACTATTAGCTGGAACCTAATTTATGAACTAGTGAATTTGACTCTCCAATGGGAGAGCAACTAACTTTTACAGTACCTCAAAAAAAACTTCATTTTACTGTCATGCATACCAAATACTTTGCTTATAAGAGTCACTCACGCCGAAACCGGTTTGGCTCAGTGGATAGAGCGTCGGCCTGCGGACTGAAAGGTCCCGGGTTCAATTCCGGTCAAGGGCATATACATCAGTTGCAGGCACATCCCCAGTAGGGGGTGTGCAAGAGGCAGCTGGTCGATGTTTCTCTCTCATCGATGTTTCTAGCTCTCTATCCTTCTTCCTTCCTCTGTACAAAATCAATAAAATATATATTAAAAAAAAAAAAAAAAAAAAAAAGAGTCATTCATGGTCAAAACTGGTTTGGCTCAGTGGATAGTGTCAGCCTGCGGAATGAAGGGTCCCAGGTTCGATTCCAGTCAAGGGAAGGCACCTTGGTTGCGGGAACATCCCCCTGGGGCGGAGGGAAGGTTTAAAGGCAGCTGATCGATGTTTCTAACTCTCTATCCCTCTCTCTTCCTCTTTGTAAAAAAATCAATAAATTAAAAAGAAAAGTCACATGAATTTCAATGGTTGGCCTTCATTAAATATGTGGGGAGAAGATAACAGGGTTCTTAAACTCAGCAACTTTAGATAAATAAAATGGTGCAGAGAAGGAAAATAATGAGATGGAGATAGAATGGAGATGTGAAAAGACAGGAAAGAAAAGTCATCAAAGATAAACATTATTTTATTCAAATAGTATTTTGTTCATATTGCGGTAGCTGTGTATGTATATTCACATACAGCGTAACATGAAGAAAATACAAGGATAGCATAAATTTCTCAATTATTACTTTGATCCTTTCAGATATTCCTTCCTTTGTTCATCACTTAAATATATGAGCATCCTATCCTATCTAATAAAAGGGCAATATGCAAATTAACTGTCATTCTGTTACAAAGATGGCGGCGCCCATAGCCACAAGATGGTGGTGCCTAGTCCCCTCAGCCTAGCCTGAGTCCCCCAGTCCTGGGGGGACTGCCGCTGAGAGCAGGCAGTGTGAGTGACCTGGTGGAATGCTTGCTTCATCGCCGTGGTGACGGAGGGCATCTGGGGGACAGGGTGACCGGCCCATAGCCTTCGCAGGCCCGGAGAGGAGACGGTGAGTCCACCTCCCATGGAGGCAGCTTGGCTTCCCGTGGCGCGCTGTTTCTCACCAGGTCCCGTGGAAGCGGAAGGTGGCCTACTGCATGCAATGGGCTACTAGTTTACTATGGAAAAGTACTATGGTAAGCCTTGGGAATATGATGAGCAAGGCAGAACAGGGTGAGATACATATGCCTTTATCTGCAGAAGTGATTCATGTACATTTTTAAAGTTTGCTCTGTTCAGGTATGGGGCAGGCAGAGATTAGATTTAGGGAGGCGCTAACAGTCACCTATGTGAGAGAAATAATGGAAGCTTGACCAATGGTGGAAGCAATGGAGCTATGTGGACTAACAAGGAACAAAAATTTATGGTGTAAAAGCAGTATCTCTGGCCCTGGCTGGTATGACTCAGTTGGCTGGAGCATCATCTAGTGCACCAATGGATCCTGGGTTTGATTTCCAATCAGGCCACATACCCAGGTTGTGGGTTCAGGGTGTGTATGGGAGGCAACAGATCAATGTTTCTCACATCGATGCTTCTCTTTTCTCTCCCTCCCTCATTGACTAACATAACAACAACAAAACACTTCTGGGATAATGGGGTAAGGAGTGGGAGGTGAGTTTAAATTCCTAGCTATACAGACTGCGGATGTTTCATGAAAATAGAAAACACTCTGGAAGTGAACTCACGAAGTCAAGTTTTGGACTTAAGGTGAAACTGGTTTTGAGACATTAAAAAGGATACTGAACTGGAACTTAGATATTACAAGTCTGGAGCTGAAAAAGCTTCTTAGCTTTAAATATCTAACCTTCACCAGCAATTCCATGAGACAGGCATTTCTTTCCCCAA